TGGTGAATCATTGATAAACAATCATCTTGTTTGTTCTTTCCAAATTTGTGTGTGTTGGTGCAATAAATTGAATTGCTTAGTATTGACAAGTTTGACTGAATTGCTTAGTATTGACAAGTCATATAGAAGTCATTGATGAGGTTGTGTTTGAATATATATGTTCTGCAAGAATTCTTTTTACTAACTGCGCTGTGTGACTCTGTTTGCAACACTTTATTATTTGTTTGGTAAATTTATGAAAGTAAAGGGTAACAGTACTTGATACTACTGGTTCTTGGAAGAATTATACACTACAGGACGTTTCTATTAGTAGTGCTATTAGCTGCTTAAACAGATAAGTGAGGAAAGGGAAGCCAAAGTCTAGGATTCGCATACATTGGTTCTCATTACTACCACACATTGTTGGTTAACAAAATAGTTCTCCCTAAATGTGATCTATGGAAGTTACGGGCATTAATCAATGTTCGAATGAAACGTAAAAGGAGGTTACTTAAACTAGGAAACCTCTTTAGCAGCAGGCAATGATAAATAGCTAAAAGAACTGACATAGCTAAATCTCGAGTGATGTTGCTAGGAAGTAAATTTGCAAAGACTTTTTACTTATTGGGCTGTTCAGTAGGAACTAAATCCCTTCCCCTTTTTAGAAGGTTAGCAATTTGTTTGTGACATCTGTAGGTAGATTTGTCAGAAGTAGATGGTGAAAGTTGTTGTTAAGTGTAGGTGAAAAACTTTATAACAATAGCTATTGGTTGTAAGAAAAAAAAGAGTCTGCACGATGTGTCTTTTATTGGTAGTCTTATTATTAGCAGCTTAAGCAGATAAGCGAGGAAATGAAGCCATATTCTAGGTATCACTTACAATGTTTCTGATTGCTATAAGTTTGTTAACTGTTATTAACAACCGACAGTTGACAGTTCCCCTCCAAATGTGACTGGAACTTATGGATGCGAATCAAATTTCGGATTGCATGCGAAAGGTCATTGCTTGAACTAGGGAACTTCTTTAGTATGTAATCTCTGTAACTAGTTAAAAGAACTGTCATGTAAATGAAAAGAAGGGTCTGAGATAGATAACATTTTGTCTTTGATGATAAAAGTAAATGCGATAATCTCTTTTTGGCAGGTCCATCTTTCTCCATCTTAAGCCGTAATTTCATAGAGCACTGTGTCTTGGGCACCGACAACTTCCCTCGGACTCTACTCATGTACTTGTCCAACACACCTGCTTCGCTCTCCAACTACTTCCCAACTATCCTCTGCAACACGAATCTGTTCAAAAAGACCATCATCAACAACAACTTACTCTACTTAGCTTCTAACGACACTTCTAAAGAAAGATACCATCAGCTTGATCCCAAAGAATTCACTGAAATGGTTGAATCAGGAGCAGCATTTGCAAGAGGATTCAGGTACGATGACTATGTCCTTGATCGCATCGATCATGAACTTCTGGGACGCAGATCTGGTGAAGTTGTACCTGGTGGTTGGTGTTTAGGAGATTCTAGTAAAAACCGCAGCTCGTGTTCGGTCTGGGGTGACTCGGGTATTCTAAGACCCGGCTCTGGTTCGGACAGGCTCGAGAGGCGAATTGTTGAGTTATTGTCAAATGATTGGTCCAGAGCGCACCAATGTGTACCGGAGTGATCATCCTCTCACCGTACGTTCAATAGGAGTATATAAACTTGGCCACGAAGAAGACAACGGTAATTTACCTTTTATGTATCTTTAGAGAGTTCCACTTTCACATGTAATCTATGAGTTTGAGATTGTTGATTCATTGTTGTAAAAGCAACATCACAGGCTCTCTCAGCTTTTTTTTTGCCATCTAAACTGAGAAATGTAAGGACTCGGTTCTTTGGTTTAAGTCTTAACCGGTATAAAATTCCGGTTTTTATGTCAAATCAAATCCAAACCGACTTTCTTATTTGAATCGTTCGCGATTGGCGATTTGTTAAGCAGAAGAATGGAATCAAAATCAGAGTGGGGTTCAGGCGTGTGGGCCCACCTTACCACCGTCCGGCAACGATCGCCGCTGGTTCAGTGCATCACCAACTTCGTCTCAATGGATCTCGTGGCTAACACGCTTTTATCCGCCGGTGCATCTCCGGCGATGGTCCACTCCGTCGTTGAGATTCCTGATTTCACGCCTCATGTTCACGCCCTCTGCGTCAACGTTGGCACGCTTACACCTGACTGGCTTCCCTCCATGAAAGCTGCCGCAGAACTCGCTTCTAAGCTCGGAAAGCCGTGGGTTCTCGATCCCGCCGCCGTGAGTTGCTCCCGTTTCCGGTTAAAGGCGTGTTTGGAGCTCGTTGAGCTTAAACCTACTGTTATCAAAGGAAACGGTTCTGAGATTATTGCTCTCTCCTCTGCTTCAACGGGTCAGACTAAGGTAAAGAACAAGTTCTTTGTTCTTTAAGAGAGGTTTTGGTAACTATCGAGTGTAGGTGGCTGAAGAAATTGAATTGAATTTATACCAGTGGACTCTGCAATTCTTTGTTCTTTTTTGTTCAATTCATTCAAATTTTGTTCATCGGAATTTCAGAAATCAAGAGTGGACATGTTATAATGAAGTTTTGCTAACGTATGAGTTGTTGTTTTGGTTAGGGTGCTGATAGCTCTCATGAATCTACAGACGCTATAGAAGCTGCAAAATCATTAGCTTTGTCAAGCGGTGCTGTGGTTGCAGTGTCAGGTGCTGTTGATATCGTTACAGATGGGAAACGGGTTATTGGTGTCCGCAACGGGACAAAGATGATGCAAAAGATCACTGCAACTGGATGTTCTTTAGCTGGTCTGATTGCAGCATTTCTTGCTATTGATTCGTTACAGCCACTGGAAGCTACGGTTTCCGCTATGTCTGTCTTTGGTATCGCAGGTGAGTTGGGTGAAGCGATGTCCAAAGGTCCAGCTTCATTGAGAATGCATTTGATCGACTCTCTTTACGGGTTGGATGAAACCACAGTTCTTAACCGTGTGAATATCACTAGGTTGGGTTGATGTACAATAATCTTCTTCTTCGAATAAAGTTTCTGTAGATCTCTCTGCAGTTGTCTTGATCACTTCCATATCTCGACTCTCTCTCTAGATAGACTTCCTGTATATTTTCCAGCTCTAGGGATTTAGGAAACTTTACAATGCCATAGTAGGAGTCTCATAGTTTTATATACTTCAGCAATTCTTTTGTGGTCACAATCTTAGAAATTTCAGGGCTTTCTGTGATTTGCTTTCAATAAATAACTGTTACGTACAACAAAAAAAAGAACATTCACACACACACACGCACAAATTTAAAATCTTTTGGCAAAGACTCCTTTTGGTATTTTTCTAGTACTTGAGATGGACAATGATCCTCAGCAAAGACTCTGCTCCATCCACTTGATGCTGACCCGATGGAATCAATGGCCTGACCTCTGCAAACCCACAAGCACTCTTGAACCTACCTGTTCCTCCAGTCACTGACAAATGCGACATGGCGCTTCCGATCCTATAAATTCCATAGAAGTTGAGGTTGTCATTGTACTCTCCACCTTCAAGCATAGCTGTGAAAGCCATCATCTGTGTGCTTCCATCTGCAGAACTTGCAACATAAACTCCTTGAGCCTTACCAAGTGGCTGCGAACCCAAGTCTGGACCGGATGTGAGTATGTCATCGATCACGGTTATAGTGCCAAACCCAAGACTCAAACCATCAGGACCCAACTGAGTCTGAATCCCATTCAGGTTTTGACCAGAGTAAGCTGTACCAGACAAACCGGTCCCAAGAGGTACACCGTTGATACCATTAACCGTTGGGAGGGCGCCGTTTGCATTGGGAATGGCTATACCGTTTTCGGGAGGAGTGAAACCAATCTGTTTAGCAAACGGAACTTGACCGTTGTAAATGTTCCCGAGCAAACCCGTGATTGGCCTCGCGGTGGGGCTGCTTCCACCAAGTAAATCGTGCATGTAGAGTTCGAAAATGGGGTCTTCAGGTGCAGGATCAAGTGCTGCTGCAAAAACAGCAACTGTAAACAAGATTGCTGTTGAAAACAAGAATGGTGACTGCTTGATCATCATCATGGAGGATGTTGTTTTAGATGTTGTCTCTGTTTTGTGTTGGAACTTGGAAGGAGATTTGTTTGATGAATGTGTGAGATATGGGAAATGGTGTTTAAATAGAGAAGTGGTGATTGTGAAGTTGTTGCAACGTTGTGATTTTGTGTAGTTGTTAAAATGAGTTCTTTATAGCAGTGAGAGATAGTGTAATAATTTTTATCCTTCATAAAAAAATTGTGAAATCCAGAAAAATAAACATAAGAGGATCACAAGAATATTTGATTATCTGTACCATGAGAGTTCAATTGAGTGGGTACCTAAATTTTTGGTGGTTTAGGTTGAATAATACGAAATTAGCTGATGTCCAGTTCAAGAAATGAGAAAGC